AATGCAGTACTTGTGACTGTATTGCCAAATACTGTACTCACTTTTCCAGACACAGTACAGTATATTGTGAATACAGTGTTTTTGGTGTACAATAACTCATTGCACAGTGAATGAAGTTTGCCCAAAATTACAAGGCCTACTGAATTTATAAAATGTTAAAGCTTGCTTATTTCTTTGTAATATTGTAATCTATCCACTAGCAGAATCACTTAAAACCTAATGAAAGAGACAAAGTGTCGTTAGTCATAAAATATTGACGGATTTATTAATACATTAATCGCTATTCAAGACATTTTCATTAATGCTGTCTATGTTGGAGTTTAAATACATTATTTTGTTGACCAGTCGAAGCAATTTTGGAACGCTTTGCGGAAATTGGATTTTTTGCAATTGAAAACGCCCTCTCCGACGGAGCGCTACTTGCTGGGACCGCTAAGATTTGTAGGCCTAGTTTGTATAATAATGGAAATGTTTTCTTATTGATAAATCACCATTGCAGGACATTAAAGTCGTCACTGTACGAGATTTTAACGTGTTTATATGTTTCGATTTCATCATTAATTGTATTATGAAGGCTATTGCTTTGGATTGGTTGAGTGTAGTCTTCAAAAACAGGATCGATTTGTGGATTAGAATGAGTTATGGAGTCTTCGTCTTCTGATGGGCTATTGCAATACAAATTTGCACTTTTTTTTTACTCAGAGTACAGTACTGTACAATAGTAATTGAGACGACACTCATAGTATTGTTCAGATTGAGAAGCATAACACATAGTATTAAAAAAGTGTTCACTCTAAAATAGTGTACTCAGTTACTATCGGTAGAGTGGGTACTATCTACAATATTGTATGAGTACACTAAATTTGAGTACCGTGTACAGCTGTACAGTACTGTAAGTTTGGAAATAAATACATTCATGCAGGCCTCTAGTATATACTAGCTCCTATGAGAGCACATATAAACAAACAAAAACTTCTGATATCAAATAAAAACACCTCTTAATGAGGTAAAAATCTAGTGACGATCGCACCTTCAACATACAAAAGTTCTGATATCAACATTTGTGACGAAAAATTATTACACTCGTCATTAAATACACTTTCTAAGATTTTCTCATTCGGCACGCTGCAATAGAAAATGCCTATGAAGGTAAAAAGGCTAAAATAGTATGCTAGGGCGGGCCGAATGAGAAAATATTAGAAAGTGTATTTAATGACGAGTGTAATCATTTTTCGTCACAAATGTTGATATCAGAACTTTTGTATGTTGAAGGTGCGATCGTCACTAGATTTTTACCTCGTTAAGAGGTGTTTTTATTTGATAATCGTTAGCAGAGTCGCCTTTAAAATCCACCTTATCTGCCTAGAATTGTCTACTTTTCACAAGTTTTGCATATTCAATTTCAATGACTAAAACCAAGTGCATTGACATCTGCGACAACTAGTAAGAAAAAGCGCCCCGAAATAGTTCGCTCCAAGCTCCGACAATCGCCAAGTGCCCAGAAGGGCTGGACAGATGAAAGGAGAAATTGGCTCCTGGCTGGCAGCATGCCCGAGTTTGGATGACATCGAGATGAAAAAAATGCCAAATACTTGGGGCACACAATGCCAGAAATCTCAATTATTTAGCCAAACATGTGTTAGCTGTGGCAGTGCTGCATGCCCGGCAATCCCTCATATACGCGTGCTATGGGAGCGACGACAACAGCAACCTCTTCGAAGCGACGAGTGGTTTTCATCTGGCAAAGCGACAGGCGGCTATAAGTCAAATTGAAATTTTGTCAGCAGACCAAGAAATTATCTAGCCCGACACACAAGCACAAGCCGTAAGCAGAAATAAAAGCTCTAAGAAACAAATCAAATAAATGCTAGAACCAAGGACTACAAAGAGTTTCATCAATTATCCCCAATACTTCAGATTAAATTCTTGATTAAAGAAATTTTCTTTCTTTGCACTAAATAGAAGAAAACTAACTAAGGGTAAGCTAAGTAAACTAAGTAAACAGACAGCAAATATTTTAGCCAACAAATATCACACACACTCCCTTGACCAAACTGCAGTGCATTATGCAAAAGGAGCAGCTTAAACTTAATTTAAAAATGCCACTGAGTGGGAAGTAACCTTGCTGAACAGCACGGTACCCAAGCTACATCAACGAAAAGAGCAGCAACCACAACATCAGTAGCTACATCCTCCACAGAAACAGCAAGAGCAACAGCAGCAGCAGCAGCAACATCATCATAACTAGCAACAGCAACACTAGCAGCAGAAACCAGAGCAAAATTGCTGGCAGCAACAGTGCAAAGATTGAATGCAATGCATAAAAGAGCCAAATTCCACACCAAAGAATAGCAACCAGAAAAATTGTACGAGGAAATGCTTAAAGCAGACACAAACGGGGTAAAGGAAAAGCGGAGACACAGACACAGGAGGAAAACCGAGGAAAGACAGAGGGGGCAACCCTGGGCGAAAATCCAGACCAAAGACAAATGTGGGTCGAAAGCGCAAAGTGCAACAACTCGCACGCACGGAAAAGGCGGAGGAAAGTTGCAGGGAAAATGCAGTGCCAGCAAATGCAAGCCGCACGCGCCTCTGACGGAAAATGCCAAGATGAAAACAAAAGCGAAAAAACTAAACCACTTTTTTGGCACTTGCTGCCGCTGGCTGGAGATTGGTTGTCGCCCAGTCCCTGGTTCTCCCAGTTTGTGGCACACGAATTGCCGTTGCCGTCGTTGTTGTCTGCGTTGTCTAGTGCTGTCTGGGGCTCCTTGAACAGCTTAAGTGAAATTTAATGATATCTTTACAGGCCAAGAAGGAAGCAGCAACAGGTGTGGCCTGTTTTCATGGCGCCTGCTGTTCTGCTAATTTGTTGAATTAAAGTTTCTGATTTTATTGCCGATAAGTTAGCCAGCAGCTGCAACAATGGGTTGAGTAAACAGAACAAATCCGATTCATTGGGTGCTTCCGTGGTCTGGGCCCAAACAGTTGTGGCAAATTTTCTAGTGCTTTTTATTCGAAATAACTCTGTTAATTATATCTTTGTAAAAATAATTACGTTTTTCGTTTAAGTCATTACAATTATAGTCTTCCATAAGATATTCCAAAATGTCCACTAAACGCAGACGAAAAAAAATTAGTCAACACAAGTGTACATTAATGTTCTTCGAGATACATTTGCCAAAAGAAATTGCCTCATTGCTTTCGAGCTGGATGCGCGGGCAACATCTCTAATGACTTGCTCTAGGTGATGATGTCGTCGTCATCGTATATTCACCCACAGTGAACATCGCAATCGGAACAGTTTATTCGTTTAAGAGCAATTGAAATAAATTCTAAGGCAAATTGCCTGGCTGTGAAAGGCGGAGGAAGCAAACAAGCGACGGCAACAACGGCCCCTCGGCAACTCTGAGATTTTAGTCTTGCTCGGCTAATGTCCAAATGCACTTAAAAGTGCTGAGGCCATGTAAATGGGACTTCCATCTCTCCAGCTCCCTGCCATAAATACCCTCTGTTGCCATCCGCCCATTTATGTCGCATTTCATAGTTTCGCTCTGGCTCTTGAGGGCAGCTTGGGGAGTTTAAAGCAGTTTATTTCCCATCCAAACAACTGATATTGAGAACGCGTGGGAGTCGCTCAAAAAATATAATAGAGCTAAGCCCGATGATCTGTCATTTCGTGGCTGCTGATGTTTCTGGTTGTGATGTAAAACTGGATTTCCAGAGCTCAAAACTTAGTTGCGCCATCCGCTACGCGTATCCGTCTTTAATTGTTTTGAATTATATTGCCGGTCCCGTTGGTAATTGCAAACCTAATATACATAAAACATAAATACATTAAATAGCATCATATTTAGCAGGAAAAGCAGACAAAAAAATTCAGATACAAAACATGTTGACAGAGCAACAAAAATTGTTCGCTTGCCATGTATTTTATTTTTAAAGTGCAATCAAAGTGATTGAGGCCCAATGATGAAATGAAATGGTTATAAACAAGAAACATGAGCTAATTATATTCAAATGACTGTGTGATTAGTGCTTCACCTTTGTAGCTGCTTTTTTTTTTAATTTGACCTAAAGATTTAAAGTCAAATGATACGCAATGAAATTTAATATTAACGTTATTCACAAAGTTATGCCTGAGAGCCAAAAAAAAACATTAACGCAACATGTTTGCTTTAAATTTCTTGGTCACGACCTTTTCAGTGCCATAAGTCCATTGAAACAATTCTTTTATTCCCGAACAAAGTCAATTACAAACTCATTTTGGCAAGAAACTCACGCAACCACCAAATTGCAATTGCAATGGTAAGACAAACTCAAGTGCGGCAGCTGCTGCTCAGCTTAACCGAGACCTGGGCCAAAGTTATCCCCTTTTCTCGCTTGTTCGTAAGCAAGTTAACTACCACTTGGCTTTCAGACGAGTTGAGGCGGGAAAAAACCACCGACCTTCGAGCTAACTCTATTTAGCATGCAAAGGAGCTTCTCTCTCTTTGTCTGCGCTTAAATGATATGCAGCAATAGAATCAAATAAAATAAGGTAGTCCAAGGAAAAAGTCATAGCACTATTTAATTAGCCCAACATTTTTAAAAATTCAGTGGAACTCAATAAAAAACATAAAAAAATACAAATTGTATTGTCGTTCAGAGTAAGGATACATTTTAAATTTTTTCTTTGGATTTGCTCCTAATAAAAGGTGGTTTAAATAATGTCATAAACCAGTTTTTTTTTTTTTTTTGTCAATTTTTAAAAATCATTGTTGATAACTGCAACGTATTACCGAAACGAACCGTACACAGTATGCACAATGGTTATTTTTAATAAGTGTCACAGAAGTGCAGAAAGCTCAAGGAGCCACCTCATTGTCAAAGTCGAAATGCATGAATGGATTTATGTGACAGCTGCACCCCCTCGTCACATATATTAAAGAGGATCTTAAATAAAAGGGAAATCAGATATATGTGTAGATTTATGTGATAAGATTTGCAGCTGATTTACTCACCCACTTTAAAGGAACCCACACATGTGGAGCCGTAGTCAGCGTTGGCGCCTTCTAAGTTTGTGTTTTATGATTTCGGCTCGACTTCGACGTTTTGTATCGCGATAAACTAATTTAAATGAATATTATAGTGCGGTAGCTGAGCCATATGAGAAGGACAACCGAAAATAAAAACACAAACTAAACGGAAAATAAAAGAGCTAAAAATAAATATACAATAGCCGATATGGTTATTTATAAATGGGGTTCTCCCGCTGATAATTTATGAGAACACAAATTCGTTTGAATTTAAGCAAGTAATTGGCTGGCGATTTAATGGATATTCACAGAAATTAATTTCGTTGGTCAGAGCACTCTAATAAATTTGCATTTGACATTCACCAAAGGCTCGGGGATTAAGACTTCTCACATCGGATGTCAGCAAAAAGATTTTATATCTCTTTGATTATTTTTCAAACATATATGCACACAAATGTATTAAACAATATATTCTATGCGCTGTGTTGGTTTAGCTGGGGACAACTTGGCTAACTCGAGAGACACTGACACTGCACACGACACACGTTCGCGACGGTGGTGCTGGTGGTTGGTGGTGTTGGTTTGGTGGTGCTAGTAGCAGTAGTTATACTAGTTGAAAGGGGAGCGGACGGGCGCCTGCAAGAATCGAAAGAGAACAGAACAATTCCCATATGAGACACAAGTTTCGTTTATATCAATATATATCTGAGGAATTCTGGAGTGGAGTTTTATTTATACACATATATATTGATAATGCAAGGCGTGATCTAGGTTAGGCTTTCAAGAAGAAAGAAGACAGAGGTAGGAGACAGAGAAAGAGATCGAAAGAATAGGCACAGATATGGGAGGAGGTTGAGGTGTAAAGAAAGATATTTTGCATTTTGCTAATGAGTTTGGAATATTTTCAGGCACGCGACAAAGTTGACAAAGAAAAGTGTGAAGGGTGAAAGATGGCGTATTTACAGCCAAAGGAGGTTTATGCTAAAATGTAGTTGGCACCCATTTCAATAAGAATAGCCATTCTTCCATGCCGCAGTGTGAATCTATTTTTGGAATATTTTTTATTGTGAAAATGGAATTTTAGATTATTGTATAAATGTTTAGAAAACATTTCAAAATAGCGCACACCCACGATAGGACAGGGCAGACAGGCTACCAAAACAACAGACAGGCAAGAAAAGAGATGGAGGCAGATAATGTGCATGAGAGGGAAACAGAAGATGGGGCTATAAAACAGCTTTTAGGGACAGACAGATTAATATAAATACAGTGAGGGTGAGGCAATAAATAAATAAAATAATAGACTGAACCAAAAAAGTGGAACGGAAAGTTTCACAGCACAACAACAGCAAGCGCATAAAAAATATATATATATTTGTGTTCGTATGTACAATATGGATATGAAATTTTAATGTATGCGTGTAGACATCCCTGTATCGAGAGAGCCAAGGATGTGTTATGGGGTTCAATTATTTGAGTGATTATTTGTTTTTCTACAATACATTTGATTTGTTTAGGATTTAAGCTATTATGTGTAAAACATATGTCGACAAAGATTTTATTAAATAGTTGGTTTATTTCTAAAGTATATTTGCAGATAGTTTTGCACACGACGTATGCAAATTCGTACATAAATTCGGTTAAATATCCCCAGGCCACTCTCCAAGGACTTTAAAGATGTTGTCCCAGAATCACACACACACTAGACACGTCGCCTTCCACCCTTGACATTGGCCTGTGGGCTAACCGGCAAATTGCACCCCTAATTACACGCAAGCAACACTTCTCCCACCCCATAACCCTTTTTTAGCCCGGCAACCGAAGAAGCTGAAAAAATACCGAGCAGCTGTCGTCTCACTTTCTTATCAATCAAACGCAAACACTCGCAGACAGCCGCACACCATCACACTTATCCGTATAGAAATCGTGTGTGGTATTTAAGTTGTCAAGCTTGTGTTTGACATATACGTGCATTCTGATAAAAAATAAAATGGTACACTTAGAAATATGAGTGCCAATAAAAGGTTACACTTATACCATATATTTCATAAATACGTCTCCCTTTTTTGTGTGTAGCAATTCGGTAGGGGATTTCCCCGCTGATGATACAGTGAGTGACAGTGCGGCCACAGCCAGCCCACTCGATTGATGTGTCCGTCAGTTTGTGGGCCATTTGAGCGGTCTATTATGCGGCAAATCTCCCCAATGATGCGTACGTACCCCACATGCCACATATGTATACCCCATAATATGACAGCCGGAGTCATCGCGATACTCACGGGCTGTGTGTTCATTTGCATGCACATCAACACCTTAACAAATCGACGCATTACCACTCACCCTCCCACTAAGAAGACGGGGTCGAGAACTAAGCCAAACAGAACTGATCCATCACACCGACTATCAATAAATATTTGCGTTCTAGCCCCCCATCCACTAGATTACTCGATAATGTGGATGATGGTTCGCATGGTGATTTTTCAAAAAGATTTTTTATTTTTTCATCTCATTTCTGAGCGTGTGCGTTGATTAGCCTTTCATGTTTTACGAGTTTCGTCTGGAAAATCAATGAAAATTCCTTGCCAGACATAATTAAATCTCTTATTTGTTTGCACGAATATTAAGTTTTTTAGATTTGCGATTTCCGAACTTCAAATGGTTGGGCCCATTCCATCAATCCTAATCAACTCGACCTTCCCGCTAGTGTGGTTTTGCTTTTTCCATATCTTTGGATTTCCAAATTCAAGGGCTCAAACCGGTTTCAGTTACCAGACACACGCACTTTTTCTGCCCGTATTCGTTTTGCCAGAGAGCCAAGTTCAAAGAGTAAAGTCGGAAAAAATGAGCATCATTAATCATTTCGAAGCGGACAATCTCCGACTCGTCTGTCCAAATGTGTGTTTGTGTTTTGGGTTACGCATGTGCGTTAGTTAATTTGTATAGCTGCGTTAATTAGCCAAAGCGAAAAGGCTTTTGTCCCTAAATTATGGCCTCCTCGACTGTTCCTCTTCTAACCATTAGCCACAACAAACAGACTGTAACATTGAGGGGTCTAGAAGTATGAAGAGCGCGACAGTCATCGCAACGCATGAAAGCACAGATTGGAGAAAAACACAAACGGAGAAACTACCAGAAAACTTAGCTCAAAGCAATCAAAGAGCACACAAATAACACAAGTTTACATACAATATTAAGCACTTGAATCTTTCGACTTTGAGATACCCCACAATCGAAAATCTGATACTTTCAATTAAATTAGTTATTTGAAAAACTTAAATCACTATGAAATCTATTTATCATTTTCTTTTAATTCAATTGTCCTAATACAAATATTGCTATCTAGAAGATTAGTTTTAAATCACGCCCGCACTTTAATAATAATGAATCTTTAGTAATGGAAAGTTGTATTTATCTGCAGTGACCACATTTAAACTCAATTGGTACGGTTCAGTATACCCTCCTCAAAAAGGGGGTATTAAAACCATATGAGTGCAGATACAATCGCAAACACTTAAAAACACGAGAGCGAGGCCCGAAGCTCCGAAAATTTGTGCTCAAGGTCAGGCCCGTTGAAATTTCGAAACTGGGCATTCAACTTGATAATTTATGAAACGCGTTTGGGTATAAATACGAGTAGGGAAGGGTACGCGTACAACAACACAGGCCCAAGACCGAAAATGAAACGCAAACCAAGGCAAAACGCGCAAGCGTGGCCCCAGAACTTTTCGCATGGGCGAAAGGGAGACGGCAGCTTGTCCAAATATGGAGCAGGGAGACGTCTCTGTCTCTGTCTGCCAGAACGATCCGATCCATTGATCGAGATAGCTTCCAGTCCGGCTTTATTCTCGGCGCAGTTTGCAAGGGGTCTGTGTGACCGTCATAAATTTTGCCCTGATGATTTGATTGCTGCTGCTTTGGCGTTTTCTTTGTATTTTTCAAATAACCATTTTGTACTCGCTTCATCCCCATCGAAGTTCTTTCAACCCAGTGACTCAGTTTGGATTGCAGTACAGGTAAAACGTGTTTCAGCTCTCGGTTCTGATTTGTTTTTAATGGGTTTTTATTGCGGCACGCATTCAGCCTTGGCAGTGAAACAAATGGATTTTAATGCGGCGTGTAAATTCGGTTATCTAGAAATAGCAAACGAGACTTTCGTGGCGGGCTAGAAACAATTTCTGCTAATGACTGATAAGCGAAACTAACAAAAACGGTCTGATAACTATGAACCCAAAGAAATTACAGAGCAATATAGGTTTTATGTTGGCAAACGTATCTCCTATTTAGTGATTTTCTTCCCTTTACCCGTTTCATCCTTTTTCTCGATACTTTCAACTGATATCACTATGGACGGCAGTCCATGTAGTGACGAAGCGCACCAGGAGAGTGTGCGAAGGCGACTACTATATATACACGAAAAAATGAAAATCTACTGTGATGGTCCGATCATAATGAATGATACACCTATCGAAAGGTATTGCGAAAACTAACAGGATTGCATACCAAGACTTTAAGAAAATCAATTGGCTTGGGAGAGAGAGCGGTGAAAGTGAAAAAGTGAAAATTTCGAAATTTGGAGCTGTTAGGGCCGGTGGGGATAAATGCCCCCTCGCAATGTTTTAGTTGTATTCCTTTTAAAAATACCCGTCGAATGAGGGGTCATTTGTCAAAATCCGACGCTCCGTTCAAAAGTTATAGCCAAAATAAGATTTTCTTCGTCTTCCCAAAATGAAAATTTAATTCTGTTTGTCAGTTTGTCAGTTTGTCAGTTTGTCCAAAACATGTTTTTTAAGTTTTGAAAATTTTATATGACGTTCATCACATCGATATAAAAAACTTTTGTTCTACCACTTTTGGAAAAACTCGCTAGTTTAGCGGGAAAACAGCTATAAATAGCTAAAATTAGGAAAGCCGTAACTTCTATACTACTAAAGCTACAGACTTGTGCTGCATCTCGTTTGAAAGGTATTTTTAAATGCTATAAACGCCACTTATATGTAATTTGTGTAAAAGTAATAGTTAAAAAAATATGAACAAAAGACAATTTTTTAAAACTTTTTTTTTAGCTTTTTTTTATTTTTCTCAAAAACGGCTCTAACGATTTTCTTTAAAACCTTAAACTGTATAGCCCTTGAGATTCCTTAAATTTTGGTATATAACACATTACTGTAAAAAGTCACGTTTTAAAGTTATTTTTATTCGAAAATAGCCACTTTTGCCAGCTCGAACAATTAACGCTCCCTGAGTATTGAATTTTGTGTGAGGGTATCCGAACTGTACTTTAGGGTCATGGAATCAGTAAATTTGCACTTAAGAGTTCCATATAGGAATCTTTTGTTCTACGACTTTTGGAAAAAGCCGCTACTTTAGCGGGAAAAAGCTAAAAATAGCTAAATTTCGTTAGTTTGTGAGTTCTACACTACTAAAGGTACAGACATGTGCTATACCTCGTTTAAAAGGTATTTTGAAATACTTCAACGCCTTTTTAAATTAATTCGTTAAAATACAATAGTTTAAAAATTATGATTTATGACCAATTTAAATTTACATGTTTATATTAGCACCTATGAGTGCAAAAGTAAACAAACAAAAACTTCTGATATCAAATAAAAACACCTCTAAACGAGGTAAAAAACTAGTGACGAACGCACCATCAACATACAAAAGTTCTGATATCAACATTTGTGACGAAAAATTATTACACTCGTCATTAAATAGACTTTCTAATATTTTCTCATTCGGCACGCTGCAATAGAAAATGCCTGTGAAGGGAAAAAGGGTGGAATAGTTTGCTAGGGCGGGCCGAATGTGAAAATATTAGAAAGTCTATTTAATGACGAGTGTAATAATTTTTCGTCACAAATGTTGATATCAGAACTTTTGTATGTTGATGGTGCGTTCGTCACTAGTTTTTTACCTCGTTTAGAGGTGTTTTTATTTGATACCTACTCTAATGTAAGAAAAAACGAATTTATTTAAAGTAATTTTTTTTTACAGTGCTTTAAACATACGCGGCTTTTATCGCAGTGAAAATAATTTAAGGGGGGCAGTGGGTGGAAGGCGAGTAGGCGGTGAGTACAGGACTGACAACTGTTAATCAACAAATTGATGACTGAACGCAGAAGCACATGCGGGTGCTACATTTCATTTACTTTCGATTTTGCACAATGCGATGGGAGAGGACAAACAAATGTAAAGGAGCGGGGGCGGGCGAGGGGCGTGGCAGTGGTAGTGGCAGTGGCAAACTGGCGTCGACGACAATTGGAGACTTCCACTAAATCCCGCACTCGGAGCCAGAGCCAGACGCTAATTTGATATTTTAATGGCTTTTTGTTTGCAAATTACGCTCGACTTGGCGTCGCGTCACCCTGCGCTCTCCCCACTGCCCATCCGACCCCCTGCCACCCACTCTCCCCCCGCCAAACACTTTTTAAATGAGTCGTTGGTGTCTAAAATAACGGCGCTAGTTGTACGACACTGGTTACTGGATCCATGTGTATGTTCGCCCTAACTTTTATTTCAAAACGAACACGACTCGCTTGAAATGCTGTTCGAGTGCAAGTGAGTAGGTGGCATAAGACGGCAACTAGGCGAGAGGAATAATGAAAAAAAATATCCAATCGTTAGGACTAATTAGCCCATTCCCACAAAAACCAATTCTAGAATACAAAACATCTGCAATCTTTAAATTCTTTCCAACTATAACTTAGAAATATGAAACTGTCCGATTATAATAATTTGAAATAATTTATTCTATTTTTGAATATTTTTGGGAGCAGTCTTTAAAAATATTTCAATATTTTCATAACTCTGAGGATGGAACCGAGCAAAAAATAAGCACACGGTGTTTTAATTGGCAGCCGCTAGAGAAATGAAACCTAATAAAGAGCTCCAGTTCTCGGTTCCTAGTTGACCATGGGAGCCAAACCCAGCCCGCAGGCGAAATGTCAACAAAGTGAAAAACCTACATGGGACAGTCAAAGTCAGGCGTACGAATATGTGGTCAAAACCACAAAACCACAGCTAAGCAAAGCAGACCAAGCGCGGCAAGGGGGAAAAGAGGATCGCTGTTCCAAAAATTATGAAAATTACTTTGAGCATGCCAATGAGTCAGCGAAATTATGCAAAAGAGGTAGCGATGGATAATCAGAGTTGAACAAATGAAAACGAATAGCGTCGCAAATGAAAAGGTCGTACGGAGAGAACAAAGGGGTGTCGGGTTGGCAGAGTTCGAAAGAGTAAAAACAAAACAAAACACTCCGGTAGAGATGATCGAAAAGGGCTAAAGAGTGCGATTGGTGGTGGAATTCCACAATAAGAAAATATAAACAAGTAAATGGAATGTACACTAAAGTAAACTAAGAAATCAATCAGATTGAAGTACAATACCCATTTGGCTTCACATGAAGAGGAACGCTTTTTGACTAGATAAAAATATATACTACAATATTATAACTCATTTATTTTTTCTAATAGTAATTTTTATTAACTCTCACATTATCTTTTATAGAGGAACAGAAAATAATATTTATGGGGTATCGTGTGGAATGAAACTGTTTTTTACCTCTGAGGTAGTCGAAAACAATGCGCAGTCACAGATAATAAGTACAAAACAGAGGCAGGGAAATTGGGAAACAGAGAGGGAATTGTAGAGTGCGTGGGCTGCAGGTAAAAAGAAACAGGCAGACCAGAGTGTAAGCAGTAATGGTAAAAATGTATTAATAAACAAAGATGGTTAAAATTAAAGGTAAATACAAAATGTGCAGGCGAGAGTGAGAGCGACTTACAAATAAGTGAGCAGGATGCAGCAACTTGCTCTCTTGACTTCGTAGTGGTTATCCGTTCAGTTTGTAATCCAAAGAGGAATTTGTGATTTGGGTAAAACTTAAAAATTCAGCTTTTAGTTTTTCAAACACTTTGATAATTTAGACACGGGCTTAGGAACGACGGTAGGCCCTGTCACGGAGGCGAGGGGCGTGGCAACACAGAATACACAATAACTGGAAAAATCGACGCAAATTAGAAATAGACTACACTGATTTTGAACACTTGCCAATCGGCTGGCTAACAACACGCACAACGGATCACTTTCAACTTAATTTGTGTTCTATTATTTACTGAAAGTTGCAGTGGCAGCTGTTAAATGGAAATCACAGAAAAAGTACAAGCAATTAAAATTGTATTCTCTATGTTGAAAAGCAGCAATTGCTGGCTCATTTTTAAACTCTATAATCGTTTGGGAAGTGTTTTAAATAACAGCACGATTTTATTAGCTTTTTACTCTTTCTGAGATTTTAGGAATTTATATTTCGGAGCACTGCGATTATTTTAGGCAAATTTTGATAAAATGACTGTTTCACAACCACTGTACGCGAAAAAAAAACCACCGAAGAGGTCCGCGTGATCTTGTTTTGCTCTTGTACTGGACCTGTCGCTCCCTTCTCGTTTTGGCTGCTTTGGAGTTGAGTTGCGATCGCACCACCGGAGACGGAAGGGCTGCACCACCGAACAGCCGCGGCACAGGGAACACAAATCACGAAGGAACAGGGAAGGACGCGAAAAGCTAAAACTAACGGAACGGGGACCGAAACGAAGCACAAAAGGGAGTAGTAACTGTCAACTTGAAACTGGGAGCACGAGCGACACTTCTATTCCCCAGCGACTTGAAACGCAAATCCGACTCCGACTATTTTATTGTTATTAATTGCGCACGTTTATTCCCACGATTCGTCAGCTGCGCGTTTGGCGGCAAGAGCTTTGTTCGCGTACCTCCTGTTCGCCTGTGCTCGATGCTGATTCTGATTCGGGCACACAAAACGCCGTTTTGGTCAATTCGTTTTTAAGTCCGCACACACGCGAGTGTAAACTGCCGATCGCTGGTATTTTGTTGAATTCAATTTCTGCCTGCACTTGCATTTACTTTACCGCTACGATCAAATTTAACTCGCCGCTCTCTTGAATTAGTGATGGGGAGAAGATGTTTTCAGAGAGCAGCGATGATCCAGGCCTATCGATGTGTCCGATATGTTTGTCTAGCGAAGCCACAAACCAATAAGCTTAAAGTAAAGAGGTGAAGATCTCTGTTATGATCACAGTTTTTAGCCGAGACTCCAACCTGTTTTTGATATTCCATCACAATTTTACTTGTTAACCTTTTGCAATAAACAAAAAAAAATCTAGTTTTGACAGCAATAAATAAAAAAGATAACTATAATTATGACATTATTAAAATATTTATTAGCTATTTTGCATTTGATGTTTTTTCGGGAAACCGTATTGTTTGTTCTTCGTTTTAATATTTATTTAATTTACCACTACTTTTAAATTTATTTACCAAATGTAAAAAAAATTTAAAAGTCTTTATCAACAAGTCAGAATTATATAAAAGTCTTTAACCGCAAGCCAAAAACTTAACGAGCGGGGAATAAATTCAAAAGTAAACATATTCCATTTAGATAAGGAAATGCTTGCGACACCCAGGTCCAATTAACGGGCTTTATTTTGTGAAAAATGTAGAAATATTGATTCACAGAATTTGTGATACCTGAACTATATATTCTTTAAAAGTTTCCATTAAAATTTTTCGGATAAACTGATTACTAAGGCCGATCTCGTACTTATCGGTTTTTAATCACGGTTAATCACAAACATTAAAACCCCATATAAGTGGTGGGTACCATTAGAAAAAATTGTACTGCATACTTATGGACACACTTTCAGGTGATCAGCACACCTTCAATTCTAGAGATTAGTTCTCAACTATTTTGGAGCAAGACCGAAAGTGTTGTTGCCTAGCGCAGAAGAGCCGCCATGTGCTCTTTCCATATGCGACAGCTCTCACTCTGCCGGCACTGGCGTCGAGCAATTACAAAAGCAGTCGCCCCAATAGAGCGAGCGCCAATCGCCAGCGGGAGCAGTTCGGCGTTGGAGCTCAGCACCCCGCGATCGCGCAGTTAGAATCGAAATAGGAACGGAAATCGAAACAAAGCGGCAACAGCACGCGGCACGCGGAAAACGGGTCGGACAACATAGCAAAACAAAACCCAATTAAAATCAGATATTAATAGAAAAACCAAAGTACACAACAATAAAAAGGTTCGGCTAACAAGTGAATACGCAATTTATTTATAGCGAGTGCAACAATGTGGTCGGATATCGTAGGAATTCCAAATGAATTGCTGCATATTTGTTTGAATTCGAATGAAAGAAAACCGCCTATGAAATGTGAAGTGTTTGCAGATTTCTTTTTGATAAATTCAGATAAAACGAGAGCATGCGACCCGAGGAAATTTTCAGCCTGAATGAGGGGAAGCTGGTCGGGCTTTAAGTAATTTGCGAAATTTCAGCAAAAATGCTCACAAAACATTCAAGTGTGCAAATATTTGCAGAATGGGCCCAAAAGAATATGCCACACAACCAAATCTAAATACGCACACAAGGACACCAAACGCATTGAGTTGATTGTTTTTTTTCTTCGTACCTGTTACTCACCAAATTGAAGGGAATATCGTATTCTTGTTTATCTGGCGTATAAACAAGATATGCTTACCGAAAGACCGGCGGGCATAGCATAGAAAATCAGTTTTGCCGCACACGTGTCTGTTGTTTTCATTATAGTTTAGTGAACTTTGATCAGTTGTAACTTGATAAATAAACTCCAACTTTTATTTTAATCCATTTAGAATTTTTGTAAAATATCTGGAAAACTTGATGACTCATTCTAGTCCAAATAAAATAGATTATTTTTAAACATATTTTATCACTAGGCAGTGGCATTGATAATAAACTTGTCTGTGTATGTTTGTATAAGACAGACATATCTGAAGTGGTAAGCAGGTCAAGATTATTTTTACATTTTTTCCACGCCGTGTCTGCGCCCGTCAATTTAAATACGTATAAATAGCATCTATTTTTGAAATTAGAATATAGAACCATTGACTTGAGTAGACTTATGGGAAGGAGTTTTGGTCTTTTGTTGATTTTCCTTTTGGAAAACAATGTGTAGTGATAAAGATACTTTTGTATCTATAATTAATAAGCTTTTACTAGCGTATGCATACTTACTTCTAAAATATGTATGTATAAGTTAAATATGAAATCATTAATTTCTGACGTTCTTAAACACGACATTCTTTATAAGTCATTAAAGGCCGCAGTATCTGTGTCATTAAAAGACATTGAGTCGATGTGAAAGGTAATCATTTATGAAGAAAGTCATATGGTTTTGCAAGATAATCAAAATTGCTTTTAAAGCATTTATTTTTATGCGAGTCCCAAACTTCTTTTTATTTTAGTAATAAAAATGTATCTAAAACTCGATAAAACTAGATATTTATAATATTTGTATTAAAATTTCTTAAGGAAACGTGTACCTATTGTAGAATAGGACATCCCGAGTTCCACACACTTCCCCTAGTCTAACAACTATGTCACTGCTTTTATTTTGAGCGGCATTATAGGTGGACGGCACCACCACCCACCACCCACCGCCTACAGCCAGCCAACCACCCAACTTTCGACGATTGGCAGTCGTCCACACGTTGCCAACTATTAAAACAATTGAAAAAGAGTGTGGGGGTGTATCTGGGTGGCACTGAAAAGAATCTTGTTAGCTGCGCTGATACAATTGTAAATGCTGAGATTTAAATTCAGTTTTCCTCTTTTATTTTTTTACGTTTGAGTTTTTTTTTGTTGTTGCGTATTATCGGGGAAATTTGCACACTAACTGAGAACGAGAGCCGAGCTCAGGCAGATTGCCAAACAAGAGGAACGCAGACAGCAAAAAATCGGAAAAATAACAAACCCGAAAAATATCTAAAATAACAAACAAGGGAATTTCATGGAAGCAATATCCGGCCAAGGGCGGTGAGGGGTGTGTGTGTGTGTGATGTGTGTGTTTGCCCAGACAAAGTGCAAGAGCATCCACATCGGCAGCTCCTCTGCAATTGCATTTGGTCAAATGTGGAGCTCTGCCGATTCGAAAGCGAACATCTCCTGAGTTTGGTTGGTTGCCTTTCCATCAATCTGATTATATGATGTTCCAATGGAAGACGTTTTGTATGACACCTTTAAAAGTAGCTTGGAATTTTGTAAACCTAAATGATATCATTTTATAATAATTGGTTAAAGTACATCAGGCAAGTGAAAATTAGTTCTTCTTTTCATATTATTAATCAGCCAAATACAGTTTTTGTTGTAGCCTTTTTGGAAGCTCTGATAACATTTTTTTTATAATACAAAAATGTTTAAAGAAATGTGGTACATTTGTTGCATCAGAAAACAATGATTCATGGCTTCTTAAATGCCTAATACTTGAAAAAACATACATATGAATGTATACATATCTATAACCCCTCCAAAACTATGAAATCATTATTGTTAGCGGAGCGGTAACAGAACAGATGTTATATAAATAAATTAAAAATTCAAAGAAACTACTGTTTTTATTACTACACACTTAAGTACAACTAAGTTATACTGAGCACGATTTTTTTATGGCTATTGAAAAATAATAATAAGCTCAAAATATGTGATTTGCTTATGGCTTCTTTAAATAGTTGTTATTGTCTGTATTACCATTTTACAGAGATTGTCTATGAACCAAAAAACCAACGACATTTAAAATATAAAAAATGGCTGACGTGGAGGAAGTCCCTGAGAAAGGTAAATCTAAGTACAATCTGTCCCACCTTTTCTACATACTTTATTGTATTTTCTAGTGCCGCGCCTGGGGCTGCGACACCTGCAGGCGGGCCTTCTCTTCTATGGACTGGCGGCCAATACAGTGCTGCAGCTGAACGTAGGCGTGGCCGTGGTGGCGATGACCAACGGAACCGCATCGAACGATAGCGACCCGCCCGTGGGTAAGCGAAAAGACAGCAGCAAGCATCAAGCTCACCTGTTTTCCCCCCAACCCTTTAGCACTACGACTGGACGGAGGAGAAGAAGTCGTACATCCTGTCGAGCTACTACTGGGGCTGCGCTCTGGCCCAATTCCCCGCCGGCTATCTGTGCAAGCGCTTTGGCTCCAAGGCGGTCCTCTTCTGGGGCACCCTGGGCTCGTCCCTGCTCAGTGCCCTCACATCCTACGGCGTTTATGCAGCCGGCTGGAAGGCGTACTGTGCGATTCGCCTGCTGCAGGGACTCTGCCAGGTGACCTGGCCCTGCATCCACCAGCACCTGGCCAACTGGTGTCCAGCGGCGGAGCGAACGCGCCTGGGAGCGTTTGCCTACACGGGCTTTGACTGCGGCAATGTGCTGGCCATGTACGGCGCGGGCATGATATCCACATCCTCGCTGGGTTGGCCTGGCATAAGCTACTCGGCAGCCGGCTTGGGCCTGGTTTGGTGCGTCCTCTGGCTGCTTCTGGGAGCGAACAAGGCCAGTGAGGCTAGGTTCATCGGCGAGGCGGAGAAGGCCTACATTGTGGGTGATCTGCAGCGATCGGAGAGGAAGGAGCCGAAGAAAATGGAGATACCTTGGAAGGGCATTTTCACCTCGGTCCCAGTGTACGCCCTACTTTGCGCCCGATGTGCCGACAGCTGGGGCCTGACCACCATGCAAACCGAGTTGCCAACCTACTTGAGCGGCGTCTTGAAACTGGATATGAAGAGCAATGCGGTCTATTCGGCCCTTCCCTTCCTGCTCATGTGGGTGATGTGCTATGTCTACCTGATTATTGCAGATGTGCTGCTGCAAAAGGACTGGATGAGCCTGACGGCATTGAGAAAGACCTACACGAGCATAGCCCTTTGGGCCCCGGCCTCCATAATGCTGACGCTCGTCTTTGTGGGAGAGGACCAGAAGTCCTTGGTCCTTGTGCTGGTGACTCTCAGCGTGGGCGTGAGCAGTGCAGCCACGATTGGCAGCGAGCTGAATACGATTGATTTATCGCCGAACCACGCCGGCATCCTGGCCGGCCTCATGAGCAGCTTCACCAACCTGATGGCCCTGCTGACGCCCCTCGTGGTGGGCGTTTTGGTAACGGACACCAGTCAGCGGAGCCAGTGGCAGGTGGTCTTCGGCCTGGCCGCCGGAATTCTGTTTGCCGGGAATGTGATTTTCCTACTCTGCGGCACTGCCGTGACTCAGCCGTGGAACGAGTCCAAGGAATCGAGGCGGGAGCTGGAGCCGGAGGAGAAGCCGTTCCAGCACACCAAACTCGAGATAGCGGCCGATGGTTCCGATGGCAATGGAGTAGGCTTAAGACTGAACTGTACGAGCCCTTGAGAAATATATATTTTTATATTTGTTTGAATTTTAGTGTTGGTTGGTAAATAGACTGTTGAGAGGCTGAGGAATTTAGAATGGAAAAGTGCCTGTTTATTGGTAGAGAATGTGTGCAGGCAAGTACATTTCTGCAAAGTGAAATTAAATTGCTCTGTTGATAATGTATTTTTGTTCATGTGTTCATAGGATAAATGTATGGCGAAAAGGATAGTCCGTTTTGTGTGCAGAAACAAACTGATTTTAGGAAGAGAAACAGTCCAATGTTCTAAAAGTTCCAATAGTTTCCGAAAAATTAATCAACAATATGGGACAAAACAAAATTGATTTACCAGCAGCTTGATGCAAATGCAAGATGTCATTTTCATAAGCCTTTCCTGCCAATTTCAAATCATAATTTACGACCATCTAGAATTCTATTCCAGCTAGCAATAGATATAAATTCTTCTTTGTGCGGCTTAGACACCACCACCCACCCACCCCTGCAGCTCTTTCCGGACACACACCTGTGCAGCTAGGATCCAAGGGCCTGCATGAGAAAGACATTAAAACACGTAACTACAACCAGGAATCGCATAAATAAATAACAACAGCTGCTCACTTTCCGTTTGCAAGACAAGCGCTTTGTGCTCTGCTGCATATTTATAGGCGCATAAAATATTGTCGTTTATTTTTAATTTAATGACAAGAAATTTGTTCGCCTTCCCCGCCCCTCACTTCATCCTGGTAATGGCCTGTAGCAATTGCAATCTATCTTCCTGTTTCGCTCTCCATTTACGACAAAGCAAAACAATTACAAGAACAAGTATCACATGGACCCGAAGCGATAATCAGCAAGGGAGACAAAGCCTGAATCATCCAATGCGTACCGTAGCCGCCACTTTGGTCAGTGGGCCATCTGTCAGTGGTTGAAATCGAGGGGGGCGGTCGAGTAGACCCAGCACTGAAAAAAATTCAGATCGCTTACAAAACGAATTCTAAGGAAAACAGAAATTTGACGTAATTTACGTTATATTAACGTTCTATAAAAAATTATTAATATGCACTTGTGTTCCTTTTTATTTAAAATATATAAGATTGAATGAAAATAAGTTTTTTGATCAGTGTAGCCACTGTTTAGTGCGCTCCGGCACGTTGATAAAACATTTCGCTTCGTTACGTTATACTTTATTTTATTTACAATACTCACGCAGTTTACTTTTCCCCCATCTCACTCCCTGCCACCCCGAGCAACATTACGTATACGCCGCTTTGGCCATCAGCGAGGGGCATCATTTCGGTCATTATTTGGTTACGTGCGCTAAATGAGACGCAACCGAGACACGCCCATCCGCCACATTTGAATTACGTGCGTGAAGATTACGTTATTTATAACTGGCCACCATGGACCCGCTGCACTCATTTTACTTCTTCTCACCTTTCAGACACCTCTTTATACGTATGATTTCCATCTTTCGCAGCAAAGCCTTTTAGCGAAAATTAAATGTTACGTTTAAAAGTTAACAACTACAGACGGCTAATGATGCTGGCTGGTAAAGTGCATTTTCCACCGATTCGCTTGCAACTTGCTTACCAACCGGTTACACAGCCCCCCAACTTAATCTACCCTTCTTGGGCTACTTTAAGTGCCAGCCGCGTGGCCTTAATTAAAAGGAACTCCGCGAGGCAGTTCGGCGAGAGAAATGAAAATGAACTTAAAAACCTTAAATAAATGTAATTATATTTTTAACTGCATTCACGAATTAGTTAGTTTATCAAAATAGCACAGTGCTAGCCTTTATAATCTACACAATTATTTTATTAGCATTCCTTAATTAGCTTCGAACATTCCGTTCAGTGTATGAATGTGTGTATAAAAATCAACTTTAACTGCAAGTCAAACTTGAATGCAACACAAACCGAAAAACTTTTTTGGGTCCCTTCCTCCTGAACATGTTGCACGTTGGCAACTTTTTTAGGCACCTGGACGCGTGTCTGCCGAGCGTGGCAGCTTCTAATTAATGTTCTCTATACCCCAAACTTTTCACAGTTGCAGCACAACAGCATAAGCTGCAGTCTGTTCCCCAGCTGCACCTCGAATTTAAAAAAATGTTCAGAGTACTAGGAAATGTGTGCCGACGGGCTATACTCTAAGATTTCGGAAGTTTTAAAAATATCCTGAGTGGCTAATCAAGTTATGAACTAAATAATCGCAAGAAAACAATATTATACCAGACTTGTAATTCCTGTGATCAGAAATGATTGAAATATAACCTATTTTCTCGCAAAGCCAGCGTATGGAAAAAGGATGCTGAGCAAAGAGCACTTCACTTAGCCTTAACTCATTCACCGAATCGCTTTCTATATTGAGTTAAAAATTTTCATTTGCTGCATGTGCTTTAATTGCCCATCTCCCTCGCACACTCCTTTTATCCCGCAGCTGTTTCAGTCAGCCAAGTGTAGCAAACTTTTAAATTAAATCCCTGTAATGCTTTTTGGACAAATGGATTTGGCCAGGCCATGGACATGGCCATGACCATGCGGCTGATCCCGTTCTGGTTGGCGGCTTCTTGACTTCACAGCTGAAGTTGTCATTGACTGAAAGCTCGTGCGGAAATGTGCAGCTTGAAAAACTTGCAAATTGAATCTTAATTGTTTTAATATTTTCGGCATGGGGAAATTGCAGTGATTAGCACGTTAGGAAAGTTTTACTAAATCCTAATATAATTAATTTCGTTCACTACTAAGGTTGGGACCTAGCATGTAGAAAAAGGTTGAATAAGAGGATTATTGGGCTATGGTGATGGAAAAAACTGCATTTTATTTAATATTTTCTTTCGGCTTTCGAATTTCTTAGAATATATTTGTTTAGTGTACTTCTTTAGACTCCCTTTTCTATACAATTAAATAGGCAGCTTACCGATGTACATTATAATGAGGAATTTATTAGTAATTGTGAATGTTAAACGTTTGCAGTTTATAAAATTCCCCCCTCGACATAAACTGCTTACTCTAACAATACTTTCTTCCATTTTTAGCCAATTTATTTGCATGAAAAATTTTTCGAAGAAGTTCTGAAAAGACCAAGTACAACGATTTTTATATGTAACTAGCAAGCGGCATCATATTTTCTAGGGTGGCCAGAGTATTTGGTTGCCTTTTGTTAGCATAACTGAATATTTTATATCATTTGCTTGGCATGTGGCGGTTGCCAATTGCCAGTATTGTCAGTGTCACTCAAAAGCGAAAAAAAATACGCGAAACACGCTGGAGAGAATGTTGTTCGAAATAAATAAGTAAAGGAGTTGCGAGTAGGACAATAACAACTCTTTGCCAGCCTTTATGCCAGGCTGAAATTCAGGCACATGCGATATGACAGGACGCTGCGATGGGGTTGTCAATTGTGGAACGCTAGAGGTGCAAGAAGCACAGGGGTTGCTGTTGCTACGTGGAATTAACGCACGCCAACATCAACAATGAATGTAATTCAATATGCAAATGGGCTGCAACAGTTTCCTACTTTTTCCAGTGCTTCCGTGCACATTTAGAGTAGGTTCTGGACTGCAATATTCATATCCCCAGCAGACTACTGATTATGATGCGTGTATTGTACCTATTCTGTGAAATTCAATCGCAAATATTCCGCCGCTAGCCAAAATAGAAATTCAATCGGTTAAGTCCTCTCCTCTCTGTCTTTGCCGGGTTTCCACTTAGAGCAAATAGCTGAATTTAGTTTGTTATAGTGAGATTAACTTTTAATAGGTTTCATGCATCCCTTCGTTGACTTTTTATTCCTATTATTTATTTTATCAAAGTTAAACATTTAATAAAATAAATATTTAAGATTCACAGAGTCTAAGTATCATTTTTCTGTGTGCATAATGCCTGACAAGCGTCAAACAAACGCTGGACATGGCCAAATCATGTTGCTGTGCTGCAAGCAGCCATTGAAATCGAAGGTTAGGCAAGATGACAGCCACGGATTCACCTCTGACCCAATCGGGTTTGGCACAAATGCAGCTGGTTTTGGCATCGTGTAGTAATTAATTAGACTCGCAGGCATTTTATACGAACAAAGTGCAATACCGTTTCACTAATTGAACATGAACATGGCCGTCTCCATGAGGATGATGCGCCACTTGCGGTGCAGTCACCCACCTGCCATCCAACCAGCCTTTTATTGACCCCACTCCCGGCACACACTGACTCAATTCATCAGTCCTCAATGATGACGTCCAAGTGTAGGCCCACAGTACTCGAAATCTCCGCAGCGCATTCAGCTGGGTGGGTGTGGGTGGTGCAAAGTGGAGGATATGTGGGGCCTGTGGTTTCATCCCGGAGCTGCCTTTGCCAAATGCGACGTGCACGAATATTTCCCCAAATTAAATAAGCACAAATCAAATATTTTACAATCTCTGTCACTGCATGGGGAACGTCATCGGCAGTTGAGTCGGAGTAGAAGTACCAGCACTGAGAAATACATTTTGTAGCTTCAAGGTCGTTTCTCTATAGATAGTACTAAAGGCTTTTTTATAGATCACTAAATGTGTTCTAGTTTAAATTTAGTCCTAAAATTGCCTAATACATATTAAGTAAAGGGTATTGTTCGAGAAATGAGGTAATTGTTTAGTAGCCTTTTTTCTGTCAGTGTGTGGCAGACATTTTGGCCATACTGTTGTGCCATGTTTTAGGGGGCGGGCCTGAGCTGGAGCCTTTCTTCAGGCATTGATTTATGTGGTTTCGTTGTTCGGTTTCCTCTGCCACTGATGATGTGAATGTGGAAGTTGCTGTTCCGCTCTTCGCAGTCGTCTTTGTTGCTGTCGAGTAGAGTTCATTGGGTGTTATGTTGTATTTGGTGGTCTGGCTTAGTGGCTAGAAAAATTAAGTTGATAGTGGCATGTGTGGGCAGGTCTATGATGAGTTTAAAGAGATTGTGGTTGGTGAACGGAAAAAAGATGATTAAACATTAATGTTGATTGCTGACGGCGCGAATTTCAGTTTATTTATTTCACATATCGATTGCAAGTGGAAACAAACAATGAAATGGGTAAACAAATGCATTTTGACTCGAGTCTCGAACTCTTTGTTTTCGTTAAGCTAGCAAGCTTTGCAAAATTTGTTATTATTATTGAAAAGAATTTAGCCCGCGTATACTGTCATCAGCTCAGTTGCATAAGTGATTCAATCTGAAGCTGATCGAAGGAAATATGGAAAAAACGACATCTGGTGAGTTAGGGGGATAATAATTATGTGAAGTCCATTTATTGTGTGATGTTCGGCAATTATTGTGCAATTAAATCAAACTCAAAATTAACCAACGTTTTTAACAAAAGAAGGAGGTCTTAGATGTGATGGTATAACTTTTTAAATTAATACTAGATGCTAGTTAATTTTTCTAAAAAGATTTAATCCTATTTGTTATTGTCAATATCTGCGGGATGCGTTAAATCCTGAATGCGAGGTCGTGATCTTTTTTTGTGTTGAAGAACAGATTTGAAGGAATTTTATTAATACCATGTAACACCTATGTACTTTAGAAATGTTTTGTAAATGTAAATCATACAACCTCTTATATTCACCCAAAGTTGGAGAAAATGTTGTTTACCAATGATTATCTCTTTTATAATTTCACTTTGCTCTAGTAGAAGTGAACAGTATCTAATAGCCTATACCCTATGAGATTTTTATAATCTGGTCTAGCTAATTAGCCAAAAGCGTGGTTGGTCTATGGCCAAATTATGACAAATTAAAAAGCGTCACCACGGTGCTATGGGTGCAAAACAAAGTCGGGCAGGATGGAGTTCGTTATCCTGCCACACAGTCCCCACTCTCCCCAGCACTTCGTAATTACCGCGAACACTGCAATAACAAAAGGCTGCCAAATGGCGCTGGGAGAGACAGAAACCCAGACCCACGGCCGGGCCAAAAGGGTGACGAGACAAAAGCCGCTACTGCCTCCTCATCTTCATCCCGCACCCGTAGCCGTTCCCATTCCCATGGTCATCATCATCAGCAGGAGCAGACGCAGTCACGGTCGTTTGTGGCTCATTGGTTTGCGTCCAGCTTGGGTTATTTTTCATGCCCCACCCAAGCGCCCCACATAAATTAACCGAAACGTATTAATTCTTTTTTACTTCCTTCTTGCCCGCGTCCTTTTTTATATGCGTGCAAAAATTTATGCTTGAATTAAATATGATGACCAAAAAAGCAGTCGCACAGGGACACGAGTACACGAGGACACCCTGCAATCGGCAGAAACATTGTGCTTATTTACACATGTACGACACGGCGTATACGCATTGTAATGTACGACAGCCGGCCACAATTAATCTTGCCACGTGTTTTATGTGCCGGCGCCTTGAGTGCGGAGTCCTGGAAGGGAGAAAAGCGACTGGGGCCCGAAGTGGACCAACATCATGCGGCTGGGCTATAATTGAATTTTCATAACCATTAACCGACGCCGACTTGGTCATTATTTAAATGTAACGACGCTTCATTATTACCACAGTAATCGAAAGCAAATGATTGCGACTTTATAAATATAAATCAAATTAGAAGGATAGCTCCTTGGATGCTACCACATGTTGCACGGCCATTTATCCAACTTGTGGCCAAAAGCTAGGACAGCACGACCACATTTATCGCTAAACAAGAGTCAACTAAAAGGACATTTTGGCGAGCTGAGGCCATTTAAGGACAAGGACAGGAGACAGATTTATTTGGGCCTCGGGTGGTTTAAGTGCATCTTACTTATAGCTATAAAAACTTGAACTTTTATTCAAATGAAGTGAGCAGAAGGCAACTCACCAATTAAGCAGATCCGAAAGATGTTTTAGGTGCTAAAAGAAAGGTAGATAATTTTGTCGTTAAATTTCATTAAAATAAGTAAGATTATTAAAAAATAACATTTATTTTATTAATCACTATAGCACGATTAATTTCAGATAATTTCAAGCTTGATTTTGGAACATGTTCTAATAAAAGAAATATGAAATAACTTTTTAAAGTTTTTCATTTTCTTAAAATATTGCACCAATCGGCTTAGCAACATTTTCCCTCCGATATATAGCCCTGATCACAATACACGCATGCAGAAAATTAAACAAATTTGCAGAATAACATTTAAGTGTTTCTTTCTCTTGCAGACTGCTTCAGTGAGCGCGACTTTGTATTTGCTCAGGCTACCGGCTATGTGCCTTGGCCGGGAATTCTCAAGAAGAAACTCTTTCGAGCTGGAGTGGTGGAGTTTTTGTTTCACAAATGAGACCAAGGTCATTCCTTACGAAAAATTATGGCCTTATGACGATCGGAGCAAAGCGCAGTTTATTACAAGCCAGAATATGGAGTACGAGGAATTTCGCGAAGCGATTTGCATTGTCGAGAAACTTCGGTCTGGCGATGTGGATATTAGTACTGAGGGCGCAGGATGGCAGCTGGTATCTCCAGAAGAGCTGCCACCTGGAATGCCATTTTCATTGGAGCAGAGTCGGGCAGACTGGGAACTAAACTATGTGCGAGAGGTGCGTTTGGAGCGGGATTCCTTGAGCGTCGAGGGGAAATTTATCCACGTGCTAAACGTCCTACGCAGCAGCTTGACGCTAAAAAAACAGGATTACCCATCCGCTCTGTGGGCCTTCCAGGAGCTGCAAGAGCTGGCCCTCAGCGAACTTCTCTTGGTGCGCAACTTCGAAGCCGTGGAAGCGATGCATCACTTATGCCGCTTCGCTTCCACACAGCCGCAAGACCGACTCTGTGCGGATCAGGTGAAAAATCTTGCCATCCAACAAATGGAACGCTTTGCGTCGCACTTTAAGCAGTCATTTGGCACTCAAGATTTCTGGTCCGAGTATTGTTTGCGATCCAGAATCTACCGAAGTCACACCGTGGACATCAAGCCCAATTAAAATCGAAATTTTAAACAAAATTAACAATAATCAAGAATAATAAAGAATAGCATGGCCTGAAATACATACTATGCAAAATAAAACCGTTATATGGATTTAAGATTTTTATTATTAACTTAATAATGCAAAATACTTATTTCGAAAATTAAGTAAAAATAAATAAATAAAGTACATACTCTATTGAGTAAGGGTATCGAAAAGACAACAAACAAAGAAAGCGCAATAAAAGTATGACAAATATGTGTGCGGTCAGCCAGTTGCCCACCGCGGGGGCGGCAAGGCCAAGACATGACAGGGGGAGAGCTAAACAATCGATCAAAAAAGTGAGACAAATCGTCGTGTCTTTTCGGTTAGCAGCAAACAAAAGCCAAATGTGTTCACACCTTGACAGCCTGACACACCCTCATCTACACAAACTCGACCCTCCCGAAGTCCTCAGCTTTCGAGGCGGTCAAGCAAACAACATTTCACTTTTTGTGGCGCAGCCAAAAAGGTAGCAGCAAAAGGCAAATTCAATTTGAGCTGTCAAAAATCTGACCAATATTGCCTTTGAGTGTCCGTGTCCCCCTGTCTGTGAATGTGTGCATGAACGTAAGGGCTTGTGGGGGACTGTGGGCGGGGGGCGTGGTCTGTGGTCGGGCTCACAATAAATCGATTGAAAACGTAAATGAAATTGACAGTCAGCATTCCAGGTTTGCGAAGACCCGGCCACGTATCCGTCTCCAAACTCCGTGTTAAATACCTTGACACTGCGCGCCGTTTGAAGTTTTCACACTGAGGTAAAATGCTGAGATCTAGGCAATAAATTACAGCTAAATCAAATTTTGGCCAGCCAACTTCCCAATTGAGGAACTCTAAAAAAATCATAAAACTTTACCGCTTCACTTTACGAGTAAAGAATATAAAAATCCAACGGACAAACACTCATTTAAGTCACAATTCGAAAATTACTAAAAAAAACCTTTAAGAGCTTTAACTTTTAAATGGATAGTCCGATATGATAAATATATTCTTAACTTCATAGATTTTATTTACGGTGCACGGTACTCGAATGCATTCTCTTGTTAGGAAGGGAGCCTAAGTAAAGCATCAAATTAATTTGACATTTGCTTTGTCACTGTCAGCTCAACGCCTGGATTTGCAGACGCCGGGTTAAGAGCACATTCCGGGGTTAAGGGTTCCCCAAGTCAATGGCCCTGACCCAACTACAATTGATGATGATACATGGCCCGACTTTGATTGGAAATGTTGGCACACGCACACCCTAATGCAGATCAAACAGCCCAAAGTGTTTGGCTTATTGACACTCGACAGGAGGTCTTGACTTATTAGCCCTCTCCTCTAATAAGCCCCTTAAGTGGTCTTTGCTTTCAAGAAAATTAGCGAATCTAAATTATTTTTCATTTAAAAACACCATTAAATTTCTTTTCCTGTTGTGGCGAGATTGACATAAAAAAACAAATAAAGGGAGCAACCCTCGAAAAGTTGGCCATCACAATAATAATAATGTTATTTTTTAATTTACCTAAAATGTCTCGCGCACACATACATTCAAAGCAGAATATACATTAATATGGCTAAAAGGAAAACAAAAACATCACCGTAGAAAGAAGAAGAACTAAAGACGAAGTTGGCACAGGTGGGGTGAATGGGAAACAGGAATCGTTGCCAAACAGTGGTTCGAGACTTTAGAGCAGTGCGTTAAATTGATTTTATACCGGTCTAAAAAAGTGAAAAAGAAACTTAGTCAACTATTTTTTCCTAGTTGGTATTAAATTAATTGACATACAAATCTACAAAAAGTAGTGCTTATGCACAATTAATTATGTATGATGAGTTGAGCAATACGCTTAAAGTTAATATCAATGTAATCTAAATAAATTTATCTTTGTCAATTCAATACATGTATGTTGATATCTGTTTGTTTTTTCACAAATGCAATGATTTTTTTCCAACAGTAATTGTGTACATTTAATTTTTTTTTTGTCCACCAATTAATAGCTTTATTTATTTACCATTAAAATTTGTAAATTTGCACCACTGTTTGACAAAAGCTATTATGTCATAAGTATCGCTACTTAGTGGCGGATTTTGTTTTCATAGAGCCCACTGGTAAATTGCGCCCTCTGACATAATTTTTTCGTGAGCTGTTTGAAGTTCTTTGAGTTGGCGTGTCCTGGTAATTTTCTACTTAGCGATGGCTTGTCAACACCGTCGTGGGTCGCTAATTTCATTGAATCGCGCTTCATTTAATGAATTGATATCCGCATAAAGGCCGGCCAGCTTCAAACAGATGCAGATTGCTGTAGCTCCTTTGTGATGTAATTTATGTGCCGGCGCCAGATGCTTATCGCAGTATCGGTATAAAGCCAGGTCAGCACCTGACCAATCTTATCACGATGCTGTCCATGTTTAACCCCCGCACACAAAGTGAAACCTCTCTGATAAGGCAAACAACCTCAGCCCGACAGCGTTGATTTATTTCACTTTCTTCCTTCGTTTTTAAAGAACACTTTAAAGCGCTGTGGGTCGCACAAATATCGCTGACCTTTATGGCCGGCTGTAAAAATGTTGCTAGTAAAGGCCTTAAAACACCGGACAGACGTGCTGGCAAAATATTTGCACATCGTTTTTTTTTTTAATACTAATTAAAATTTTTATACTTTGCAAAGTTAGAGAACGAGACCGCAAAGCAATTTTCAGAAAAACCCAAAAACTAAAAAACACATGTGGCAAGCCAACGCACGCACACATATTTTATTTGAGGGGCACAAAGATTTTTGTTGACAGAAATTTACAGTAAAACGAAAGTTTAATGCACAAGTTCTGCTTCGCTTTTCCACATGCCCCAAAACCATTTGATGGGTGGGGTGGGGCACCGCTTGCTGCACCACCCTGAGCCACAGAGAACCACATGAAGCCAGGCCGAGGTGAGCCGGCGGTCTGTTTGCGCAACTTACAGCCAAAGTAAACTCATTACCAATGCAAACAAACAGAGGAGAGCGCCCCGAAACTTAACAAAAAAATATGTGTAAAAATATATATTCATACATATTCAGCTCCCACCGAAACTATTTGCTGCGAAACGAAACGAAAGAAAAATCGTTAAAAAGTGTGTTAAAAAATAATTAAGTGCTTGCCATTCGTATGCAGGCATGTGCACTGCACATTAAGCATACGCCACGTGTCCCTCTCTGCATTCGAATGCATTCTAGGCCATCGGCGAAAAAATGTTTGTGTTGCATAATTTTGAGCACCGCATAGACAGCATATTCGGAATGCCTTCTATTCCAGGCCTATCGATTCCAAATTCCATGTCGAAACCAGGAGAGCCTGCATCCTAACCGCAGGATACAAATATGTGCTCATTGTTTGGCGTGCGGCTGCCGCGGTGTCTTTATTGATCAAATTGCTTTATTGGTGTATTAATTTTAATTGGTCGGCATGTCGTGTTGCCCAGTCACTATTAATTAACATGCAGTTCACACACACACCACTCATTTCCTCTCCACATTCGCCCTTCTGTCGGTGTGTTCAACATCGAGTTACATTAATTATTTAATTTATTGTAATTTTTGCTTATTTGCTTAACTACAGTTGAACCAAAAGTTTGTTGTTGCTAGCCCCAGAGTGCCAGTAAAAGTAAAAAGCATATTTAAATAATATTATACTCTTGGGAAATTTCAAATACTTTCAGTATAGTCGAATGTGGGAGAAGTTAAAATAATAAATGTTAAACAAAGTCAATACTAATTCGGAAAATACCATTCTTCATTTTCCGAGTTATTATTTTCTTTGTTTGGAAACAAAACTTAATTGACTTTTTTTTAATACAAAAATTTCAATTTAAAGTTTATAATCCCACCACTCTGTTAATTCATAAAAAAATTTAAGAAATTTAGGCAATATTAAAAAATTTTGGAAGAGTATACATTTTATCGTTTTATCTCTCTTATTTTCTCCGGATTTTTGTTTCCGGTATTTATTTTTCGTTCATTACTGTTGATGTTATCACATTTGTAAAACCGCAGAGAACAAAATGTTAGTCCGTACAACTTTTTGGGTCTCGGTGTGCACACATTAATGTGTAATTAAAATGTGGCAGGCAACATTATGGCAGTCCTGCCGCATATCCGCTGCTGCAGATTCACTTCCACACCCGCACACATATTGACCGCACACAAATAATTAATTGAGATACTACAAGCCAGGCAAGATGGAGCTAGATGAAGCTGCTCCGCAGTGTTGGGCATGTTTCACGAAGAGCAGGCTATGTCTGTGTCTGTTAATTTATTAATACAATTGATTTATGCACCGATGAGGGCCAAGGAGTCCCTTTCTCCCCAATTTCGACTAGTCGCAGACAGACCTCAAAACCGAGCTCTGACTCTCAGGCTCATCCTAATCTCATTAACTTTCCCACATTAAAGGAAGAACCCAGCTGACTGGGCACCGAAGAGCGGTTTCAGGGCATTGTGAAGTGCTAAACTGAAACTAAAGTTTAATGACCACAAAATCCCATCAAAGCCCCTCAACGATTCCAGTTGGCCTAGCTCTTTCTGACCAATTACAAACGCATTTCAACCCAAACGCTAATCGGCTTCCTCGCCACTCGCCACTCTCCTCTGCATTTCAGGTTGAGTGCATCTCATTTAAATGAATTACAAGCGAAATATGAGCGTTTCCACTCTCTCCCACTTAACCGCTCATCTTGACTGTTGCCGCTCATTAAGCAGCCGTCGCCTGAACGCCAAATGTTAATCAGTTTTTTCTATTTCAATTACATCTGAGCGGACCGATGCTAGGAGTAAAACGGGGACCCCAAAGCGCAAATCCCGAAACACAACAAAGCACAAAAATTGGTAATTAATGCTTCGCTACACTGGGAAAGAGTTCTCTGCCTTTTATGTTGGCTAAAAATAGGTTTTGAGAATATAAACCTTCTAGAACTGCAATATAAAACAGGATGATGAAATGATACAATGTCTCGTATAATTTCTAAATTCAAATGATTTTTAATATTTTTGTTTTGTCTCTTTTGGTTTTTTTTTTGTTGTGTATACGGAAACGGAGAGAAGAGGGATTCAGAGCGATAAAGGGCAGACCAGCCAGGGTATTCCTTTAGCCGCCGCCCCCTGTTAATTT